ACTTTGCCTTCATAAAAAGTTCACTCACCTCAAATCTTACAACCAAAGTGGCAGAAATAACCCGACATTCAACAAACGTTAATCGAGAATCTACTATACAAAAATCTACTATTTTTGAGGGAATATAAAAATGACTCTTTTAAAAAAGTTATTGCCTTGAAAGAGCTTACAATCTAATAGGGAAGAAGAGATGCATAGACGTGACTCAATATGGGATAGAGTGGATTCTGAGCCACAGCGGAGGCCAAATAAACATTTACACGAATCTCTAGAAGAGGCAGGAATCAGCTCATGGAGAAGAGAGCATTTTGGCTCTTCTTAAGAAGCATGTTTTTACAGTGTGAACCACGTTTACTGAAGCTAAATGATGAAATTGTAGACAACTGTGTCTCCTGTTTATTTTAATGATATTCTTTTATTGAGCATTAGCAAAGTCTATTACTTTTTTTTTTAACAATTTGGCCAATTTGAAGAATCTATAGGATTCACCATGAAGTTAGGAGGAGGGGCAGCATGGAGAGAAGAAATATCAATGCAGCTTACAGACAGGAATGGAAAAGAACAGTTTAGCTGGAGCCCACCACGGGAGGAGGCATACATAATACTGCTGAAGGTGAAATCAAGAGTTAAAAGTGCAGAGTTTGGAATCAGACGGACCCAGAATTGAATGCTAGCTCTGTCACTATGTCACTAGCTATGTGACCTTGGACAAGTTACCTAATTTCTCTCAGCCTCAGGTTCCACATATGTGAGTAGAACCCACCTCACAGGGTTGTGTGACTCTTACAATGATTCCATTAAATGACATATGGTAAATCTTAATGTTAAAGGAAGAAGGAAAGGGAAAGAGAGAGGGAGAGAGGGGGAGATTTTTAGAAGCTTGGGCCAGAGCATAGAAAGCTTGGAAGAATCTGATTCACTTAATATAACTAAGAGATAAAGGAAATTAAAGAGCAGAAATTGTGTTACGGAAAGATGGCTTCTTAGGAGAGCAAACATATATCCATAGTAAGCAATGCTAAAATGCTATACTTTATACCATCACAGCAACATGCTTTTACAATGTGAACCATTTTTCTGAAGCTTCCAAACTAATGAAAATCGTAGGTAACTGTTTATTCTGTGTTCTTCTTTCATTGACTATCAGCAAAACCTACTGTTTCTGACTTCTCAACAAGTACTCATAATTAATCTGAAGACTGCCATGCTGCACATGCTTCCCAGGAATCACAATGCCCTGACCCCTGGCCACACAGAAACACAAAGCAGTTGCACTCCCCCTGCCCCCGCCAAAGGGCTTGGGTGCCTCACCTGTGGCTAGCGCAGCTCAGCCTAAGGCAGGCAGTCTAACCCACTGGTCATCCACACATCGATGATGGCCACTGTGACTGCCACAGCATGTCACTCTGACACTTCCAGGAGCCACGGGGCCAGGAAGGCAGCACTTCTTGTCTTTGCCTCCCTCAGCAGAGTAAGCAGGGTGGTAGCCCCCCAATGCTGAGATTCTCCTCCATGAGATTCCTCCTTCTCTGCTGCTAAGTGGATACACGAGGTGACTGGTGTGAAGCCACAGACAGCCAAGGGATTATCATGTATTAACTTACAGAAAAGGCTGTTCCTATGCTTAGGCTCCTTTTGTATTTCTAAATGGGAAGAGGAATACCAACAGTGTTTTTATATTTACTAACACTGATGATTAATAACAAACACTAAGCAGCGGCACTGTCCTGAATAATGTTAAGCAATCCACACCCACAAGTTTATATGACCCTCCCAGCAACCCTGTAGAAAAGGTGGTTACTCTCATTTTAAAGGTAAAGAAACTGAGGTTGCAGAACTTGTAAAAGTCACAGCTGGGAGGAAGCAAGATATGTGCAACTTCCTGGCCCATGCTTTACCCTTGGGGAAACCCTGCACATGGCCGCACAGCAGCGTCACTTGGGGGGCTTTCAAAAAACAGATTCTTGGGCCTCACCCAGATTTACAGAAATCAAGCCTTTATGAGCTTTTAGTCACACCCATGGTTAAGGACCAGCATACTTTTATACTAGTCAAAGCATGTTAAACAGAGTAGCATTACTCAACTAATTGAAGGTATTCTGGGGACTTTGGTAAGCCTGCAGTTTTTATTATTCCAAAGTATACAAGAGTCACAGTTAATTATTTTGACCTGAAAGGAATCCCTGCAGGGTGAGGAACAATTGGCAAATATGGGGCTGAGCAAGGCAATGAGGCCAAGGGAGGAAGTACCCATTTGCCGCAGGTGGGTGGAGCCTGAACTGTTCCTCAGTTGGAGCAGTGAAGGTGGGAGGCAGCCTGAATGTGCCTATCACTCTTCCTGTGCTGGCACATGGGAGACATTTCGTAAGTATTTGTCAAATGGACAAATGAGTGAAGGCCCAACTTCTCCAGCTGGAAGTAATTCTACTCTCCTCTAAATTCCCTGCATTTGATCTGTGTATTTCTTACCTTATTTACCACAGTCTGTCTTGCATTCCTGCTATTGGAAACAATGTCTCATCTCTAACAGAAGGTAAAAGTTCCAGGGGCAAACTCCACCTCTTTGTGAACTAGGTCTCCCACTCCACCCCAACACAGGCCACAGGAGTGCCCGTAGCAGGCACCTTCAACGTCAAATGAGTATCTGGCTCCATTTCAAATGTGACCTGATTCAATATGTGGGTCCTGGCTATTCACAAGGCATAAGCCTACCAAACCTTCCAGCTCTGTGGCATAATTGTGGACTGCAGGGACACAGTGGCAGAGAGACTTTTGTATGGAAATTATTAGGAATTTGGAAGACCTCTTTGGAGGGCAGGCTTTAAGAAGACCAAGACTCTGGGAGATAGAGTCCCAACTATCAGATACTTAAAAATGAAGGGGTTACAACAACAAATAAGAGGAGCTTTTATTTAGTCCTCCTGATATGTACTGTAGAAACCATTTATGTTTCAAAAATTATAACCATAGTCAGGAACACCTTAAAATATCAAGGACAGTGACACTGACCCAGGAACAAATACTTCCTACTAAAGGGGCTCATCCTTAGCCAGAGTACCTGAAACAATAAAATTCAAATGTAAGATTTAAATTTTAAAGGTAATACCACTTGCTCTTTACTATCCCCTCCTACCACTTGAGCTCTTCATTACTCTTGCATCCTGGTGCCCCACCCTGCATGGTGTCTGGGTGGCACTCTAATGCTCTGTGCTGGGCTGCTTTTTACTATTCCACACCCCATCGTCCCATTTGATCCTTACACTGTGTGATGGAAGAAGAGCAAAGGTTATCAACCCCATTTCTTGGATGACATAAGTGGGGCTCAAGTTGTATGATATGCCCCAAAGTACCACAAAGTGGTTGAACACAGTGCAGACAGTTAATCTGGGAAGTTAACAGACAAATGAAAGAAGGCATGAATCTCTCTAGCTGGAAAAAATCTTGTCTCTAAATGTCCCAGAATTTGATCTTACTTGCTTACAAATCTTTTTGCTCTACATCACACAAACCTGACTTTATGTGCTTCTCGGGGAACTGAAGGGATGGCAGAGTTGGGCAGGTTTCAAGGAAGAAGATGATGTTATTAAAGTGTTTTAATAGCACATGCAGAGTCTAATCTGAGCCCTTCTAATTCAACAGGTAATGGGCTCCTCAGGTGGGCAGGGATATTTTTTGGTTCGTAAGAAATTCAGCCTTGCGGAGATGACAGGAAGGTAAAGATATTCAGCAAGATATACAACATAGAAGGCAATAATGTTGTGAGCACTGTAAAGAGGGATTAAGATGCGAAATGCTGATGGCCTGTATGGGGTTCTCTCATGTCAAGAAGTGAAAGGTGATTCATACAAGCTGAAAAAGAAAATTCCTTGGAGTTATTTAAGCTGTTATAGAAAAAGGCATTTTTGAGGAGAAAAAAAATGGCAATGCCTTAAAATCAAGCTACAATATTGTTTTGAAACTGTCTGGGCAACTGACAAAACTGGCAAAACCCATCAGGGTGGAACACTGACTAGGGGCTCCCAAGGAGGTGGGGAACAGTGACTATCCAGGGAAAATAGTTACATGCAATTTTCAAACAAAAAACAAGGGACCAAGTCCACCCAGTCACCGCTGACAATTTCAGTGGTTTCCCAGAGAACTGAGATAAGGCCAGGAGTCCGAGACCCAGGAGGCTCGGGGATTAGGCAGGACCAGAAGACCAAGCCGGGTTTGGTTCCTCCTACAGACACTCCCTTTGTTAATCTCGGAGTTCAAAAGTCTACATAACCACCAGGGGAAGGCTTTGGGTCTCCCCGATGGGGTCAGCTGGTTTCTTTCACACTCAAAACTTTAACTGTTCTTTTTTTATTAAAGAGAAATACGTTAATAGGAAGAGGCAGAGTGAGGCAGAAGTGAAGCTGCACGGAAAGTTCGGGAGAGGCCCGGGAGGGAAAAGCGCTGACGGGCACTGGAAGTGGCCAAGGTCAGCGCCCCCGTCTCACGCGCGGTTACCCGGGCCACTGACAAGCCGCAGTCCGGGGCACCCCGCGGGAGGCTGGCTTGGGAAGCCGGCCCGCCAGATGGGAACGACTCCCCCAGCGAAGAAGGCGGGACGGTTCCCGGGAGGAACGCGCCCCGGGGACGCCCGGGAAGCCCACAGACGCCCTTCGCTGGGGGCGCAGATGCGGCCCGAGCGTGCGGCCGAGAAGCCCCAGCCGCGGGTAACCTAGCGGGAGCGGGTCGCCAGTCCCCGGGTCACCCCGGGGTCGGCGCAGCCCGCCGCCCTTGCCTCCCCAGCCCGGCGGCGGGGCGTGCAGGACGCGCGGGCCGCGGGGCCCGGAGTCGCGCCCCTCCCGAGGCCATGCGCCGCGCCCACGGCAGCCGCAGCCCCGACGTGCTTGCTGCCCCGCCGCGCCCAGCCCCTTCCTGGCGTCCCCGGCGGCCGCGGGGTCTCCCCGGGCGCTGCCCTGCGCCCCCCGAGACGACGGCGCCCCAGGCCACGGCGGCTGCGCGTCCCTTACCGCGCGGCGGCTCCGGGCGGTTCCAAGGCCCCGCGGCGCGCCGGGCATTTTTTTCTCGGAAACTTCTTGCGGGTCGGTAGGGCTGCGCCGGCCGGGCAGGAAAAGCTCTCAGCGCCGGGAGGCTGCGACCATCCGGGAACTTCGCCGAGATTTAAACCCTCCCCCTCGGCTCCGCGCCCCCCCCGCGGCCCCGCCGCCTGTGGACGCCCGCGCGGCCGCCGCCGGCCCTTCGCCTTCTCTTCCGAGCGCCGAGCCCGCCCCGCCCGCTTCTGGGACTGTGCGCCCACGGCCCGGGGGCCCCCGGAGGAGCGCGGCGGGCGGGTGGACGGGAGGCTGGGGCTCCAGTGTTCCTTCGCCCCCTGAGCGGTGAGAGGACGCGGCCGTAGGGTCCAGGGCGAGCGTCAGCTGGGGAGGGGGAGCTGGACGGTGCGCCCTCCCAGGAGCCCTCTCCCCAAAGCCTGCATCCTCCAACTTCCCGCGGCTGGGGCCCCCCCACCCTCAACCCAAGGGAAGGCCCTTTCCCATTACCCTCTCCTCTGTTCTCAAAAGAGCGGATCCAGCTTTGAGACACCTTAAATTCAAATTCATTTTTTAAATGAATTTTAAAGTGTGGGACCCACAGAGGCCCAAGGGCCACATGCATCTGACTCCCCGCCCAGTGTGTGGGACGACAGTGCTTCTCCGTGAAAAGATGCCAGTTCTCCCACTAATCGGTTGGGATTCTTTGCGTAGTTTGCGGCTGGTTGGGATGGGTTTATCATCGGCCACCGACAATAGGCACAGCGGACATTTGGAGAAAGCAGAGGCTCTACGCCATTACCACGGCTAACTTACTGCCAGGCTCAGACCAGCTCCGGAAGCCACCACCTCCAACCCCCAAGGAAGTGCTCACAACTCACCAAGACCTCACAGATACTACAGTGTGCAAATAACAAGAAATCGTGATCAATATAATGAGGACTTAATCATTTGTTAAATTTCCAAAGCTATGTATTCCTTTGAGTAAATGCAGAAAAGGTAGGGACCTATGCACTTGAGAATTGGTGTCCTAGGCTGAGGAGGTGGTTCATCCTGGACTTCAGGCTGTCTCAGCTGCTGTGCCATTCCCGCGTGCACACTTGTATCTTGACATGCTCCTAACAGATACAAGAACCCCTCTGGGAAAGAGATTTGGTAACATGGGTAAACTATTCCTATTGACAAACTTTTGTCTCTAAATGTACCCATCTTTTTAAGGTTCATTATGCATTTGCCTTTCTAAGCCATTTTTATGGTAATATGCATGTTTTGTTTTATATAAGATGAAGAGTAGTGATGTCATCTAGCAATGTTATTCCAGGCTTGAAAACAAATCAATAGCACTTAGCATGGTGTAGCATGGAAGTTAAGCGTACAGCTGCCTGGTTTCTTTCCTAGTTCTCTAAGTCTCCAGTTTTGCTTCAGTCAGATAGGGATAACAGTAGTTCTTACCTCCTATAGCTGTTGTAAGGATTAAATGTGATAATCCCTCCAAAGACAAGCAGAGTAGTGGCACATAGGTAGAATAGGAATCTTTATTTATCTTTGATTCTCCACATTCCAGCAGAGTTCCTGGCATCTTATAGAGAATTGATTAAGTATTTGCTAGGATAAGAACTCTTTTGAGTTTATGTCTTTCAAGAATCCATGTAAATTTTAGCACTTGGATACACAAAAGAAAATAAGGAAGGTGAGATACTTGACCCCCCCCATCATTTTATCACTGAAAGCCCAAAATAAATGGAGTTCTGAATCGCCCACTGTTTTAAGTCACCTGTAAGATCAGTGATCAGTTGTCCAGCATGCCTCTAGCTCTTTCCTCAGACCCCAGTACTGCTCTCAATAAGGTCAAAGTCTACCTGGTATTTTATCAGCAGTAAATTTCTAGTTTCAGTAAGTGGACTATAGTTATGTAAGGTGTTTACATTTGGCGAAGATGAGTCAAATGTATATGGAAACATTTTTTACTATTTTTGCAACTGAATTGTAAGTTTAAAATAATTTCAAGCTGAAAAAAGAAATTTTTAATTTAAAAAATGATCAAAGCCTACCATTCTACACCAGATACATTCTTCCCTTGGGTGATGCCAAATTATAGCTAAAAAATGAAGATACTAAAGTTAATTTTATGCTAAACCTTGGCAGTCATGTATACATTGATATGAATGAGTTAATAAGAAAAAATGACTTCTTGAATGCTGCTTGAAGATGAAGCTGACTAGAAATGTTGTAATGATCTTGAGAAAGAAGGAAAAAGAAAGGAGATAGGACACTGAGATCAACAAAATTAAGACAAATTTACCGAAGTGCAATATTATTAAATAAATGTATTTGCTTGCCATTTCATAGCTACCATTTTGGGACTGAATGCTAAACTAGCCCTAAGGTGTCCTATAGCATCCCCTCTCATAACAATTACTTGTTTACTATAATCACTTGTCTTTAATGCCTGTCTTCTCCCTAGGACAATCACCCCAGTTTGGGAGGAGAGGTATGTCTGCCTGGTTCACACAGTATTCCCAGCACCTGGCACATTCTTAGTATTCATTAGTGTCGGTGAATGAATGTCAAGCACCCAATTAAGCCCTCTTTTACCTATAGTATCTCATTTAATTCTCACAGCAAATTGGTGAGACAGATATTTATTTGTTCCTGTTTTACAGATGTAGAAACTGTGGTTTGGAGAGTTTAGGAAAGCTTCCCAAGGTCACTCAGGTCGTGAACTTCAGAATGCAGATTATTTATAACACTCTTGCTTTAACTACTGTGTATTCTATCTCTTGACTTTACTTCTCTGAGCTTCTGCTGATGTGAATGACCTGAATTGACTAGTATCCCAATTTCTTGGTGCCAAAGAACAAAAGAGGAAAATATATTTATGTTTGTAGAGAATGACTGGGGCCAGGCAGATTTGGTCAAAGGCTCTATATTAGTTTGACTGATTTGGGTTCTTTCCTCTGAATTCAGGGAGTATGAAATGGTAATGTAGGGAGTAAATGGAATGCTATGTGAGACAAGAGTCCCATGATAGGCCAGGGGATGATGCAGAGATTCAGGGTGTTGCAGAAGGAGTCTTGCAGAGGGAAAGAACAGACTGGCTTTGTCAGCTACTGATAAGCAAGGTGAGTAATGGTGGGTACAGGGAGGCCAGCAAGTCTTTAGAAAGGGTAGATTTCATTAGTAAGTCAGTTGTGGCCCCACAGTGGGGCCTGTCAATATCTGCAGTCCCCACCTTCATATTGGGTATCAGGAGTCCCTGGAGCGATGAGACCCTGTAGGCTGGACTGGAGAGATGCACTGGGAGGGCTGTGAGGCCTGTGAGGCCAGGGGGGTCAGCCAGGACAGCCAGCCTGGGAAGAAAGACGCAGCTCCGCTTCCTTACACATCACAGAATCAGCTGCCATTGGAAACAAAATGGCCACTACCTGGCTGGTAGAGAGAGGTTTGCTCCCAGGGCATCTACCAGTTAGAGAGAACCCCACATGCAGCTTCTCCCTGATCCCCTGAATCCTGCATTCCTCTGTGGTGGTGTCCTGTCAGATATGGCAGTACATCTTTGGGCAGCAAAACATTTCTTCATATAATATTATATGGAGCACCGAATATGTAAGGTGGGTGAGGTAGGGCTGCCCTGGTGGAAGGGAGTGAGAACTGTGGGGTGGGGCTCGGAGGTGTGTGTGTGTACTGACCTTCCTAATGGACCCTGAGCCACTATTTGAGAACCACTTTCAGAAGAAGCAAGTTTAAGTCCTTTGATGTGGCACTCAGAGACTTCCTTGACATTGTCCCTATTTTATTCTCCTCTCTTGTTCTTGGCTGATCCTTGCTTTAAATTTTATGCCCCGAAGTATAGAACTACTCCCACACATCTGAGCTGCTTCATGCCTCTGCTTTGCTCATGCTGTTCCTTCTGTTTGGAATGCCTTTCCACTGGCTGCTTCTGACCCAGTCTTCAGAATTCACCTGTGATAGCATCACCTCTGATAAGGCCTCTGGGCTCCCATAGTGCCCTTGATGTGCCTCTCTTTACTGAAATTCTTCCTGTATCTGTTATCTCACTGAGCTGTAAACTTCTCAAGGCCGGAATCTTTTGAATCTCTGAGTCCTCCATTTCCCATTCCCAGCACCTGGCTTAATTGATGCAATTGTGTAAACATTATCAGTCATCGGTTTAAAATGCAAAGGACCCTTTCTGGAAAGCAAATTTGAGAAAAGAAGAGAGGAGTGTGTAATAAAGAAGGGTGGGGTCTCCTACCAGAGAGGAACTGAAGAATGAGGAGCCTGGATGGGAAGCAGACCCTGAAAGTTCACGTAGGGTCTTGGGCATGACGCACCTGTCACCACTGCCCCTAATTGAATTAGTGATAAGTACCTCTGGGAAGATGCACTCTCCGCTGCCAGAGCGGCCCTTCCAGGAGCTCTGGAGGCTCCTGATTACCTCCCTGAGTCGCTGCAGGCCTCCGGGGATTCTGACCAGCATAATGGACTTTGAAAAGGGAGACAGCTGAGCTAGGAAAGTTAGTTCAAGTCCTTGGGGGCATGATGATGGATTAGTTAAGGACTCCTTCAGATCAGTCTGAAGGAAGAAATCTCTTACTGGCATCATTTGCTCATGGTTAGGGAAGGGAAGATGGTATAGGCATTGGATTTTTTATTATGAGAACCAGATGGATTCCAGGACTTGCTTTAAAATGGTGAACATTCTCCACCTCCACGTTACTTTCCTTACACAAATGCAATGCTCCCACTTCCCCACTTTACGGGCACGTTGCAAGAACGACTGGGACCAGTTCTCCCACTTGCTGGCTTTGTGACCTTGCAAGTTCTTTATGTTATCTGGGCCTCAGTTTCCTCATGTATAAAATGGGGCACAAAATTGTATCCTACTTCATTTAATGAATAAGATAATCCATGAAGAGTACTTAACACAGGGTCTGGTATAGAGTAAGCATTTGTAAAAAAAACTACCTAAAACGATTGCTGCTAGCACATTGAGTCATTGAGAAAAGCTTAATAGAGGATAAAAAGGCAGCCAAACTACCAAGAGGCAAGCTAGCATGAAGCCTTGCTGCTCAAAACATGACCCATGGACCAGCAGCACGGGCATCACGTAGCAACTGTTGCCAGCATAGACTTTCCAGCTCAACCCCAGACCTACTGAGGCTGAACCTGCAGTTTAACAAGAGCCTAGGTGTTTCATATGCATGTTAAGTGGCAGGTTGTGCTGGCATAGGAGTGCGGACATATCTACCACTCTCTGTGACACTTCGGGCAAGTTCCCAAACCGCCCACACTTCTTTTGTCGTCTGTCAAACCTGATTGCCTAGGGTGGCAGCAGTGGTTAAGTGACTTAATATCTGCCCAGCCCCAGGAAAGGCACCTGCGTACGATAAGGTAAGCGCTCTTCAGTGTTTGCTGTCTCCGCTCTCCAGCCCCAGGCAGGGGCCACTGGGGCCCCTCACAGAGCCTTGTGCGTGGGACCGTGCTTCAGCAGGAGGCAGCCTGGCAGGTTCGCATCCTGGCTCCCGCGCCAGGAACGAGGTCTGCCTGTGGGACCTGGACTGTCACCCCACTGTTCCAAGTCTCAGTTTCCCATCTTCTAAAAGTGGAACAGTGACTGCCTAGCTCTCCAGGATGCTGAAGCTTTGAGTGTGATATGCTGCAGAGAGCCAGGCTGTTTCAGCTTTGTTGATGGGCATGTACTGATTGGAGTCCACACTGTGGGATCAAATGTGTCCCTGTCCCACAGGAGCTTGACACCTCTCGCTGCCCAACCGACAGGTGCTGGACCTCCCTGGGCTAGAACTCTGTACCAGGGAGGACAGGACCCACCCAGGCCAAGGGGGGAGAGAAGGCAGCCTGGGCCAGGTGAGTACAACAGACTGAGCTCACCCCAGGTGACTCACCTGATTCCCCACTAGACCCTGAGCCACAGGATGGGGAACACCTCCCTATCTTGCTCACTATCAAGTTTGTGGAGTGTCTAAGGTTTTGCCTTCCTCAGAGTTGGGGCATATTCTGGGTGAATACAGGATAGAAGAACATTGTAGTTATAAACACGGTGACCAGAGAGTACACCCTTCCTGTCCTCTGTCTTTCCTGAGCTTTTAGGATTGGAGGAAAGACAGTTATGTCAGCCCATCTCATAATTCCCTCTAATACCCTATTCTCACAGCACCTCTTGGCCACCCTGGTGTCAGCACAAGAAGCATGTCCTTTTGGAGAAATGTGGGATCCACATATAAATCAAGTATAAAAATCAAACGAATATTCATATTTGACCTGATTGTTTATAGTTCATAATGCGTGATCAAAACCGAAAGTTTCTGTGATGACTGCCCTTGTACTGTTCACCATGTAAGAACTTATTCACTATGTAAGAATTCGTTCACCATGTAAGAACCTGTTCGTTATGCTTCAGAAGATTGGAGACTGACGAGAATTAGGCTTGAGATGGATTAATGATTGTGCATTGAGCATTGACCCCACTATACAGAATTGTATGGTTGTTAACAACCATTTGATCAATAAATATGAGAGATGCCCTCTCAAAAAAAAAAACTGAACACACAAGTACCATAAGACCCAGCAATTGCGCTCCTGGGCATTTACATGAGAGGATTTAAAATTAATGTTCACATAGAAATTTGGATGTTTATAGCAGCTTTTTTGTAATGGCCGTAAACTGGCAACAGCCCAGATGTCCTTCAAAACATGAATGGTTAAACAAACTGTAGCACATCCCTATCATAGAATAGTACTCACCATCAAAAAGGAACAAACTACTGACCCACACAACAGCTTAGATATATCTCCAGAGAATTTTGCTTAGTGAAAAAGCCAATTCCATATGGTTACATACTATGTTGTCGCATTATATAACATTCTTGAAATGACAAAATTATGGAAATGAAGAATAGATTAGTGGTTGCCAGAGGTTAAGGAGGAGGTGGGGTGGGAGGGAAGTAGGTGTGACTATGAACGGGCAACCTGAGGAGTCCTTATGGTGATAGAAATCTTCGGTACTTTGACTACATCAGTGTTAAGATCCTGTTGCAATACTGTACTATATTTTTGCGAAATGTTTCCATTGGGAGAAATTGGGTAAAGGGTTCACAGGATCTCCCTGTATTTATTACAACTGCATATGACTCTAGAATTTTCACATAATAAAAAAATTTAATGTAAAAAAAAAAGAAGCATGTCCTTTTAAGGTGTGAATAGTCTCCCCAAACTCCAGTTGGGTTCTTTCTGTGAGATTGAGAACTTTTCATCTTTTCCAACTAAATTTGGGGGTAGGGAGGGTGGAATCCCATTGCTT